TGACAATGGTCAAATAGAGAGAACAAATAACTAAGATACAGACAGATTGACCCTAACCCTTCCTCAAAAAAAAAAGGTTTCTGATGTGTGCGTGACAGCGTTCGACCAATAGACTTGGTTCTGATGGGTATAGAATAGAGTGTGTATTTCTTCAAAGAAGCTGATACATATTGAAGGTATAGTGTAGATGGACCTCATTCTGGTTCTAAGCTCTGTGTCAGGGAAGTCCTGCCCATAGTGCAAATGAAGTTCCAAGCAGATACAGTGTGTGTAGGTGTAGGCCTGTGGGTGCCCGTACAGTTGTGTGCAGACATGCATGCCCCGGTGTGCAAGCCCCTGCCACTAATGTTGGCACCAAATGGACTATTTCATTTAAGTTGTTCCATTGGCCTTTCTGATCTACAGCATTTCCGTGAATCCTGTGCCCATTCTTGTGCTCGATTCCATTTACTGACCCAGCTTGCTTTGACCACACTTGAACGCTACCTGCCTTGACCTCGGCTTGTCCCTGGACATTGCTTTTCCCTCTTGCCTTATCTACCTACTCCACTGCTGCTGACCTCGGCCTGTGTCCTGACCAGGGGTGGACTGACCATTTGGAAACTCGGGCACAGCCCTAGGGCCCTGGGTCAGTAGGGGGGCCCATGAGATGCCCCTGGTACCTTTTTCATAGGCTTTTTTGAATTTGGATACCCAAAAGGACACAGGGGCTCCATGATCCCCTATTGCCCGGGGGCCCCATGAGTTGTCAGTCCGTCCCTGGTCCTGACTATTCTTATGCCTGCCATTTATGCCTGATCTGACTATCTATTACCAACTTGGCTTTTCTGACCTTGCGTCCTGCCTCACCCTACCTATCCAGTGCCACCTGATCAGCACGCTACTTACCTGGGTCTTACCAGCCTCCTCCCAGCAGCAACCAGTCATTTGCCGGAGGTGTCTGCCCGTCTACTGTTTTCCAGTTTGGGGTCCTGCTCAGGGGCGGACTGACAACTCATGGGGCCCCCGGGCAATAGGGGATCATGGGGCCCCTGTGTCCTTGCCCAAAAAACCCTATGAAAAAGGTACCAGGGGCATCTCAAGGGGCCCCCTACTGACCCTGGGCCCTCGGGCAGTGCCTGAGTTTCCAAATGGTCAGTCCTCCCCTGGTCTTGCTGCATCTGTTCGCCACCAATGCCTTTGGCATCTGGTTTATTCAAGGTGAAGCTTTGGCTACCTACCTGCGCATTCTGCTGGACACCTTACAGGCACTCATACTTCAACATGCTCTCACGTCCACTGTCTCACCACCAGTGGTCCCTGGGCTGTAAGAGAGGCCTCCATCTTCTCATCAGGCTCTGCAACCAGGTACATGACACTGTTTTCAACAGGGAACATAGACTGCAATAAAAACTTGAGAGATGGTCTAACCCTTTCTCAAAAAAATGTTGTCTTTACATGCATTTTCTGAAGTTTTTTTTAACATTTGTCTACTCATCTTTTTCACCCAGAAATTAGAGAAGTAGATGGCTATTCTATTTTGGTGGATCAGACTGTCACTGTCCAGAAGAGTCTTTGTGTCATTATTCCTTGTACATTTACTGCTAACAAGACAACATCCTTTACCGGCTCTAGAGGTCACTGGAAGACTCTCTGCCATGAATTTGTAGCCTCTAGTGACAAGTCAATTGTTGGCACAAAGCCAAATTTTCAGCTGATGGGAAATCCAGATAATGGAAATTGCACGCTAATGATAACTGATGCCAAAGAGCAAGATTCTGGAAAGTATTATTTTACATTCGAAGATGGACAAGTCAACGGGACATACGGCTATGTATCCAAAGTGATAACAATACAGGTCACAGGTAGGCTTACTGTCCATAAGTGTTGTTTCCTCTAAAGCTCTACTCTTTAACCCTTGCCTACCGGGCACTTATACCCCCTTATTTACCAGGCCAATTTTCAGCTTTCAGCGCTGCCACACTTTGATTGACAATTGCGCGGTCATGCAACATTGTACCCATATGAAATTTTGATCATTTTTTTCTCACAAATAGAGCTTTCTTTTGGTGGTATTTAATCGCCACTGGGCACTTTGCTTTTTGCGCTATAAAAAAAAATGCAAAAAATTTGAAAAAAAAAAAAAAAAAGTTTCTTTGTTTCTATTATAAAATTTTTCAAACAGGTATTTTTTCTCCTTCACTGATGTGCGTTGATGAGGCGGCACTGATGGGCACTGATAGGCAGCACTAAAGGGCACCGATAGGCAGTACTAATGAGGTGGCACGGTTAGGCGGCACTGATAGACAGCACTAATGAGGTGTCACGGATAGGCGGCACTAATATGCAGCACTGATAGGCGGCACTGATAGGTGACACTGATGATGGGTACTGATAGACGGCACTGACTGGCATCACTGCTGGGCACTGACTGGCGGCACTGACTGGCACAACCCCTGGGCACTGACTGGGCACTGACTGGCAGCACTGCTGGGCTGCACTGGTGGGTGGCACTGGTGGGCAGCACTGGTGGGTGGGCACAGGTGGGTGGCACTGGTGGGCACAGGTGGATGGGCACAGGTGGGTGGCACTGCTGGGCACAGGTAGGTGGCACTTCTGGGCACAGGTGTGTGAGACTGCAGAGTGGCACAGGTGGGTGCGCTGCTGGGCACAGGTGGGTGCACTGCTGGGCACAGGTGGGTGATCTGCTGGGCACAGGTGGGCGGAGCTAGTGGGCACACTGCTGGGCACAGGTGGGCGGAACTTGCGGGTGGCACTGCTGGGCACCGATCATCAGGGCACTGATCATCAGTGCCCTGATGATCAGTGCCGATCCCCGCTCTGACAACTGCCGGTTCTCGGCAGTACTTTCCTCACGATCTGACAGCGTGAGGAAAGTGCAGCCGAGAACCGGCACTTGCATTTCCCTTTGATCAGCGTGTCATTGGACACCGCTGATCAAGTGGTAAAAGGCCGCTGTGATTGGCCTTTTACCACATCACGTGATCACCTGTGTCCGTAGGACACAGCGATCACGGAGATCGCCGGATGCGCGCCCGGTGCCAGAGATCGCCGGGTGCGCTTCTGACATCATTGCTTACTATGTGTGAAATCTGTGAATGATTACAGAGGTCACATGGTACAAGGCTGTTCACAACAGCCTTGTACCATGTGACAAGCTGTGACCAATCACAGCTCTCACAGTATTTCTCAATGGCTGCAAGAATGCAACCAGAGAGGAGAAATGATTGCTTTTACAGCCTTTACGGGTATAAAAGCAATCAGTGCAAAAAAAAAAAAATCTTCATCACCCCCCACAAGTAGTACAGTGTCACCATGGTGACACTGTACTGCTAGGGTGACAGTATGTTAAAAAAAATATGCATAATAATATAAAAAAATAAAAATGTAAAAAAAAAAAAAATAATAATTTTTGGTTATAAACTAATTTGTTTTGTTTTTTTACTAAAAAATTTTATAAGAAAAACTATTTTTCAAAATTTTTGGACTTTTTCATTTATATAGCAAAAAAAATAAAAATCCCAGTGGTGAATAAATACCACCAAAATAAAGCTTTATCTGTTTTAAGAAAATGCTAAAAAATTAATATGGGTGCAGTGTTGCATGACCGCGCAATTGTCATTCAAAGTGTGATAAGCACTGAAAGCTGAAAACTGGCCTGGGCAGGAAGGGGGTAAAAGTGTCCGGACTGTTTAAAAAAATTAAAAAAAAGTGTTAAGGATTTTTTTGTTAATTATTCAAAATGTTATTAACTGTTTAATTGTTTTGTGTAGGGGGGTGTACTAATGGTTGATTTTTGTTTTCAAAAAAATGTTTATTGGGTTTTATCAATAAACATTTGCACGTTGTAGACAAGTGGATAGAAATGAACAATAAAGAAAAGAAAAACAAAGCAGACTTTGTACAAATTCTTCTTTTTTGTTTTTTCTGAAATGTGATAGAATGATGGCGTTATGACCAGAATGGTTCTACAACATCAACAACACAACGCACAAATGTCTAAAGGAACATAAACAGGATAAAACCATAAGAATAGATTGGGGAGAAAGAAAGGGTGATTATTTTGCTTATCCTGGAGTTCTTTAAATCTTAACCTCTTCACGCCGGCCGCACACACATGTGCAGCCTCCCGGTGTCTGGACCTAGATGCCGAGCGGCAGCACACTTGCGTGCAATTAAAAAAAGGACATATGTGCCGAGAGCGCGTGCCCTGCACGCTCCCAGCAGACATGTCCGGTACTCACGGAAAGGTCCCGATCAGGGGCGGACTGACCATTTGGAAACTCGGGCACTGTCCGAGGGCCCGGGGTCAGTAGGGGGCCCCATGAGATGCCCCTGGTACCTTTTTCAAAGGCTTTTTTGAGTTTGGGCAAGGATACAGGGGCCCCATGATCCCCTATTGCCCGGGGGCCCCATGAGTTGTCAGTCCACCCCTGGTCCCAATCGTGCAATTAAAAAAAGGACATATGTGCCGAGAGCGCGTGCACTGCACGCTCCCAGCACACATGTCCGGTACTCACGGAAAGGTCCCGATCAGGGGCGGTCTGACCATTTGGAAACTCGGGCACTATCCGAGGGCCCGGGGTCAGTAGGGGGCCCCATGAGATGCCCCTGGTATCTTTTTCATAGGCTTTTTTGAGTTTGGGCAAGGACACAGGGGCCCCATGATCCCCTATTGCCCGGGGGCCCCATGAGTTGTCAGTCCACCCCTGCTCCCGATCTCCTCTTTCGATCAGGACCTTTCCCGATCATGTGACTGCCGTGATAGCGCATCACAGCGGTCACATGACCCTAAACCCCACCCCACCTCCCGGCTTCTGGAACCCTTAAAGGGCCAGGAGGCACCGCCGTGAAGGGGTTAACAATATCACCAAAATGTTTTCTACATTTTGTCTTTAAAACCTCTTTCAAATGTTTTTGCGGTTTGCTTTTTATAGATTTTGGTGAAAAACCTGTAATCTCAGACCCCGGGATACTGACCGAAGGTATAAAGGTGACGTTAACATGTACGGCGCCGAAAGTTTGTCCCAGCGCACTAATAACATGGCAGAATCAGACGGGGATGTGGACTAATTCTACAAACCTGACATTTGTCCCGACTCGGAGTCACCATCAAACTGCACTGATTTGTCAGATGACCTTCTCATCATTGAAGAAATATATCCAAAATGAAATCACAATATCTGTTCAGTGTGAGTATAAAATATGAGATTTGGGGGAAAAAAATCACACAGGCAGCTAAAGTTTTGCAATTTTTAAATAGAATATGTGTTAGCTCACTGTTGCCAGGGGCGGACTGACCATTTGGAAACTCAGGCACTGCCCGAGGGCCCGGGGTCAGTAGGGGGCCCCATGAGATGCTCCTGGTACCTTTTTTATAGGCTTTTTTGAGTTTGGGCAAGGACACAGGGGCCCCATGATCCCCTATTGCTCGGGGGCCCCATGAGTTGTCAGTCCGCCCTTGACTGTTGCAATATATCAAAAGCCAAGCCTTTTCCAGTTTGGACCATAGTAACATAGATCATTGTGAGGCAGGTTAGATTTACCCTACTGATGATGTGTTGTCGCAATAGTAATCCTGCTCAGTACGTGAGGAACCGCAGGTTCAGATATCTGGTGTGTGTGCTTGGCTGAGGAGCCAATGGGGCGAAGCTACCATCTGTGGGATTATGACTGAACGCCTCTAAGTCAGAATCCCCCCTAAAGGTGATGATACCGCAGTGCCGCGGAGTCCAGGTTGGCCTGGGATAGCCGCCCCCCACCCCTTTGCAGGGTACATAGTGCCATTTGCTATGGGACAGGACGGAAGTGGGCCGCTATTCTCCTGTTGCATGTTTGTTGGGAGTCTGGAAGGGTGGACTAATCATTTGAGAACTCGGGCACTGCCCGAGGGCCCAGGGTCAGTAGGGGGCCCCATGCCCCTGGTACCTTTTTTATAGGCTTTTTTGAGTGTGGGAAAAGACACAGGGGGCCCATGATCCCCTATTGCCTGGGGACCACATGAGTTGTCAGTCTGCCCCTGGAGTCTGGTGCTGAGAGTACAGAGCTCTAGGAGCCACTCCACACATGCTCAGTTTAGTGTGTATTGCTAGTTTTTTTTTTTTTTTTTTTTTCTTTGAGAGGGTGCATGTGCTCAGCACAGGGCCAATCAGCACTGTCCAGACAGAAGGTCAGGGGTTATGCAGCCTCATAAGACAGTCAGAGCAGAATGAAAACTCCTCCTAAAAGTTTTAACCAGTGCTCTGCTGGACACTGACAGAAGTCACAGAACTGCTCTAAGTGCTGATGAGAAGAGGTATTTAGCAGATATAGTGAATGCAGGGTCTGGGGAGACCAGATATAGTGAATGCAGGGTCTGGGGAGACCAGATATAGTGAATGCAGGGTCCAGAAAGAACGGATATAGTGAATGCAGAGTGCGGGGAGACCGGATATAGTGAAAGCAGTGTCCGGGGAGACCGGATATAGTGAATGCAGGGTCCGGGGAGACCAGATATAGTGAATGCAGGGTGCAGGGTGCAGGGGGGAGAGTGGATATAGTGAATGCAGGGTCCGGGGAGACCAGATATAGTGAATGCGGGGTCCGGGGAGAGTGGATATAGTGAATGCAGGGTCTGGGGAGACCAGATATAGTGAATGCGGGGTCCAGGGAGAGCAGATATAGTGAATTCAGGGTCCGGGGAGACCAGGTATAGTGAATGCAGGGTCCGGGGAGAGCGGATATAGTGAATGCAGGGTCCAGGGAGAGCGGATATAGTGAATGCAGGGTCCGGGGAGAGCAGATATAGTGAATGCAGGGTCCGGGGAGAGCAGATACAGTGAATGCAGGGTCCAGGGAGACCAGATATAGTGAATGCAGGGTCCGGGGAGACCAGATATAGTGAATGCAGGGTCCAGGGAGACCAGATATAGTGAATGCAGGGTCCAGGGTTTAGTAACACTTTAAGATGCTGCCACCAGGGACTGCGAACGGTCGGTGAACCTGGTTGGGGTGAGCACACCACTGGTTCAAGGGACAGGTGAGTGTCTGTTTTTTTCAAAAGTCAGCAGCTACAGTTTTTTTACATTTTGACTGGAGCTTTGGTTTCTTTGGTAAGGTAAAACTGAAAGCATTCAACTCCGGACAAGGTTTATTACATAATTACATAGTTAGTCTGGCTGAGAAAAGACAAAAATCCATCCAGTTCAACCATAAAAAAACAAAAAAAGTTATAATCCTACACTCACAGTTGATCCAGCAGAAAGCAAAAAAACCAGCAAAGCATGATCCAATTTCCTCCTGCAGGGGAAAAACAATTCTTTCCTGATCCCCCGAGAGGCAATTGGATATTCCCTGGATCAACTTGACCTATAAATGTTAGTATCCAGTTATATTCTGTGTATCTAGGAAAGAATCCAGGACTTTTTTTACAGCAATCTTCTATTCCTCCTGCCAGTCCATCCCCCCCACAGTTACTACCTTTTGTACCACTATCCCCTCCCTTTTAGATTGTAAGCTCCAAGGAACAGGACCCTCCTATCCCCCTTGTATTGAACTGTATTGGTGCTGTATTGTCTCCCGGTATATTGTAAAGTGCTGAGCAAACTGTTGGCGCTATATAGATCCTGTGTAATAATGATAACAATAATAATAATAATAATAATATTGTAAAACGCTGAGCAAACTGTTGGCGCTATATAAATAGTAATAATAATAATAATAATATAAATCCTGTGTAATAATAATAATATAATAATAATATTGTAAATAATGAAAAATGGCGCTATAATAAATAATAATAATAATAATAATATAAATCCTGTATAATAATAATAATATATAAACCCTGTGTAATAATAATAATAATAATAATAATAATAATATATAAATCCTGTAATAATAATAATAATAATAATAAATAATAATAATAATAATAATGATAATATATAAATCCTGTATTATAATAATAATAATAATATAAATCCTGTGTAATAATAATAATATATAAACCCTGTGTAATAATAATAATAATATATAAACCCTGTAATAATAATAATAATAATATAAATAATGTATATAATAATAATAATAATATATAAATCCTGTATAATAATAATAATAATATAAATCCTGTGTAATAATAATAATAATAATAATATATAAACCCTGTATAATAAATAATAATAATAATAAATAATAATAATATAAATAATGTATAATAATAATAATATATAAACCCTGTATAATAATAATAATAATAATAATAATAATAACAATAATAATACTAAGAAAAGGTTCATCCACATGGGAGTGGTACCTATTCATTCTTTTCTTTGCAAGCATGGGTTTGTTTTTGGGTTTTAAAATAGTGACTGATTCACTTTAACCTCTTCCCACCAGCCGTACACATATATGTGGCCTCTCGGAGTGTGGGCCGTAACGCCGAGAGGCTGCCTATAGGTATACCAAAATGTAAACGATGCTGCACCCTGTGGGGTCCCAGCACAGTTACTGGCAGGTATCAGAAAGTAGCGATCGGGATCTTTCCGATCATGTGACAGCCGTGACAGCCAGTTACAGTAATCACATGACCAAAATGCCCACCTCTGCCTCTCGGCATCTGAAACCTCTTAAAGGGCCAGGAGGTGCCAACGGGAAGAGGTGCTATGGTAGCCACAGAATACTTAGGTTACAAAATACTGATCGTCTGATGAAACCGTAAATGTGTTGCTCTAATGTGTATTGATTTACTTTTGTTTCCGTTTATCATGACAGATCCACCTTCCATCTTTATTACCACACCAGGTATTGTACATTTCATAAATGTTATCACTTTCACTCTTTTATATATAAATATGAAATATCACCTATAAATGTTTTATATCTTCGATGAAGCCAGCAGGTGGTGCTATCAGTTCTTTTTTAAACATTTTCCAGTGTCTCCTCATCTCCTGTAGCAAGAAGCCAGTTGTCTACAAAGCTCAGTAGCTCAAACTGATTTACACACTCCTGGGGGGAAAAAGTGACATCAATGATTTCTTTACTTGCCAGAAGAATTTGATAACCACTTCAGCTCCAGAAGGTTTTATCCTAATCATGACAAGGCCGTTTTTGGCTATTCGGCACTAATTTATCATATACCGCTATACCTAAACTGAATTTATAAAATTATTTACACACAATTAGAGCTTTTTTTAATTAGTATTTTAGCACCACTGGGTTTTTTAAATTTTTTTTGTTATAAAAAAGAAAAAAAGACCGAAAAATTAAAAAAATAAACAATATTTTTTTTCTTTCTGCAATACAATATATCCAATAAAAAACTTTTTTAAAAAATATCAAATGTCTTCATAAATGTAGGACACAAATGTATTCTGCTGCATGTCTTAGGTAGGAAAAAAATCCCAATAAGTGAATATTGATTGGTTTGCAGTTATAGCGTCTACAAACTATGGTTTATATATTGGAATTTTTTTTTATATCAGTAATGGGGGTGATCAGCGACTTATAGTGGGACGGTGCGACAAGCAATCTGACACTAGCTGACACTGGGTGGGAACTGACACCAGTGGCCCTGTACTAATGACACTGGCTGGAATGGGGTTACCATCTGCCTTTGCAGGGAGAAGAAACAAAGAGATTGTTCCCTCTGTACAGAGCCCTGTGTTGATTATCAACACAGGGCTCCAGGCTGTGTTTGGACACAGCCAATCAGCAGGTCCCAGCCATGAATTATTTACTACAGAGACATGCTGCTTTGTATGTCTCTGCTGTGCAGAGACATACAAAGCAGCATGTCCTTGCTGGCAAAGAGGTCTGTGTGTTTTTTACACACAGGTCTCTCCCCTGTCAGCTTTCTCAGACAATTACAGGGCCCCAGCCGGCGGGGAATCTCCGGCTGGGGGACCCGGTGATTGACATCGCTAGCCGCCAATGGCGGCGCGTGTAGGGCGTGCGCCCCCTACTCGGAAAAGCAAATCACACATATATATATGTAATTTTGCGCAGCCTTGTAGCAGTACCTCTACTACAGGGCGGGGGGGGGGGGGAGGAGGGGGCAAGCGGTTAATTTAGACCTATATCCTTTCCAATAAAAAACAATAGTTGCAATATGTTAATTGCCGCAATACTTACAAAAAAAAAAATCTTTGGAAATCTAATGATTCCCCTAATCTTACTGATGTCATTAATAGACTAAATTCACAAGCCTGTTATGAACTAATGCTGAAAAATTATACCATGATTAGATTTATAAAAACTTGGCAAGCTTGGATCTCTCATCTTAGAGCTTCTATTTCACTAAACGAATTTACATTTTACTCATAACCTGTACAACATTTTATTCTCTACCAATGAGAATCCCCCCTATGGAAGGGAAATATATTTCTAATATATTTAGAAAAAAAAAATTAGACATGCAACATATATTTACAATATATTGGCCTACACAAATATATTTTAACATGTCTTCCAAAAATGTAAATTAAAATATATTTTCCAAAGGCATATATTTAAAAATATTTTTTTAAAATATATTTTCCAGATATTTTTGAACATCTAAAAAAATGCATTTAAACATAGATTTTGAAATATACTTGTAAGTGCATTCCAAATGACACTTTGGAATATATTTCAGCATGTGTTCTGAGTATATTTTTAATAATATAATCACAAATATATTGAAATATATTTTTGAAATATATTGAATATGGCCAAAATTTTAGCATTTGAAATATATGATACTATATCTCTTAGATTGTAAACTCGAAAGAGCAGGGCCCTCGAACCCCTCGTGTATTGTTTTGTTACTGTATTGTCTCATGTACTGTCCCCACTATAATGTACAGCGCAGAGCAAACCTTTGGCGCTATATAAATACTGTATAATAATAATATTTGGAAAGAATATATTAAGAATGTATTTTTAAAATATATTTAAAATATATTTTTCTTCCATGTGGGATTATTACAAAATATAATAATATAAAATTAAATATGTTTAAAAATATATTTCAAATATACTGTATGTCTTTAAAAATACAAATCTACATTTTTGGAATGCATTTACAAATATATGTAAAAAAAAAAAGTTAAAATGACAATTTTATATGTTAAAAAAAATCTGAAGAATATATTTTAAAAAATAAGTCAATGACATCACCCCTTGTTATGGGCTCTGATACTAACCAATTGTTTGGTGCCAGCTGTGATAGATAAAAGACTGTTGGGGGATTGCTGAAGAGATAAGTATCCATGGAAATGAGAGGGGTTTTCACAGATATGACAGTGCCTCTTTAACCTCCTCGGGTATTCCCGAGTGTAGCTCAGGATAAAGTTTCTGTACCAAAAGCGGTAACCCCGAGCTACACTCGGGCTTACCATGCGGCGTTGCTCAGGGAGTCCCTGCAGCACTTACCTTATCCTTCGCTCCCACAATGTGTCCCCTGCAGCGTCCCCGGCCATCTCCTCTGGCTGATGCCGGCATCCGGCTTCCGTGTTCTGGTCCCTGTGACGTCAGGACGTACGGGAAATTTGAAATTTTTTAAAAATTAAAGATTATTACATAGTAAAACATTTCTGTTTCAATGCATTTCACATACATGTTGTCCCGAGTGCTTTGTCCGGCGCCCTGCCTGCATTTTGACTGTTCTTTCTACCTGGAAACTGAGAAACGTCCATGGCGTCCAAAAAGTGTCCCTTTAGGTCAAAAGCGGTTTTAGACCGGCTAGAGAACAGCGATAGTAAATCAGAACCACTTGCAGAATTGAGTGATAATGATTCGTGGGGGGAAATTCGTCATCAGACACTGAAAACGATTCTGCGACTTTGCTCAGCGATGTGCGAACTTGGCGCTCTATTTCACATTTCAGTGTTTTTGGTTTGATTATATTATTGAATTAAATGTATTATTATTATATTATTATTTTTTTATGATTATTTATTAAATTATAATTTACAATTTCGTGTTTCAAATTTTATCACACCCGGGATGTTTACTAGACTCTTGTTCGGACAGATTTCAGTGAGTTATTCCTAAAAATTACAGCCTACAATAAAAAACTACATATTTCCATGCAAAAAAAAATGGTACCGCTTTCAGCACAAAATATTGGAAATAATCAGACCGCCAGGAGGTTAATACTTGTTTTTTTTCTGTTTTACAGAAATACAAAACCACAACAGCACTAACCGCACCACAAATCAGGAGGTAACAGTGCAAGAAGGAAGCTCATTGGCTCTGAAATGTTCGGTGGACAGTAACCCAGAATCGCAGGTGACCTGGATGAAGGGAGAGAAGAACGTGCTCATCGAGGGCAATGGGAGTGAGCTTGTGCTCTATCTGAGCAATATTAAAGCCAGCGGGGCAGATAATTATCATTGCTTGGCTCACAATAATCTCGGGGCCATAAATCAAACCTTCATAATCATTGTGCAATGTAAGTGTATGTACCATTACAAATAAACGGTGGTAGGATTATCAGGTATATCATTTCTAATGTGCTGGGAGCATCATCCCAAACACAGATACTGCAGATGACAAATTAAAGGGACTTTAAATATGCCTACAAAATCAGACTGGATATCAATAACATTAACAAAAAAAATCCCATAAAAACAATTCTTTTTTTTTAAATTTTTTAAACAAGATTTAACCACTTCCAGACCGGACACTTTTACCCCCTTCCTGTCCAGGGCAATTTTCAGCTTTCAGCGCTATCACACTTTGAATGACAATTGCGCAGTCATGCAATACTGTACCCAAATTCATTTGTTACCATTTTTTTGAGACAGATAAAGCTTTATTTTGGTGGTATTTATTCACCGCTGGGATTTTAAATTTTTTTTTGCTATGTAAATGAAAAAGTGTTTTTTTTTTATAAAATTTTGCAAATAAATAATATTTCATCATAAATCTTTGCCAAAATTTATTCCGTTATCTTTTTAGTAAAAAAAAAAAAAAAAATTAGTTTATAACCAAAAATTATAATTTTTAAACATTTTTTTTACATTTTTATTTTATTTTTTTATATTATTATTTTTTATTTATTTATTTATTTTTTTTACATACTGTCACCCTAGCAGTACAGTGTCACCATGGTGACACTGTACTACTTGTGGGGGGTGATGAAGATTTTTTTTTTTTTTTTTTTACACTGATTGCTTTTACACCCATATAGGATGTAAAAGCAATCATTTCTCTTTCTCTCTGTGTGCATTCCTGCACTCATTGAGAAGTACTGAATGAGCTCTGATTGGTCACAGCTTGTCACATGGTACAAGGCTGTTGTGAATAGCCTTGTACCATGTGACCTCTGTGATCATTCACAGATTTCACACGTAGTAAGCAATGATGTCACAAGTGACATTTTGCTTACTACTGTGCATGTGATCACTGATTGGCCAATCAGTGATCACATGATCGGGACCTCGTACAGAGGTCCCGTCCGACGATCGGTGTTTCACTGTGTCCGGAGGACACAGCGGGCACCGGATCGCGGTGCTGCGCACTCCCTGGGAGCGCGCACAAGCAGGGTGCAGGGAGGCCGTTTATAAACAGCCACCCGACCCTGCACTGCCACCGTCCAGCCGTTTATATGCAACGGCCGGTCGGGAAGTGGTTAAAAAGATGTTGGGTCAACCCACATGGAATATAAAAATATATTTGAAATATATTTTATAAATATTCTTCCCAAATATATTGACATATTTTTGAAAAGCTACAATTTGCTACAAATCCCACTTAATGTTTCATTTTACACGAACACTGTTTGAATTGTCGTTTTTTTTTTTAATCTTCTTTGACTAGTATTTCTGTATTGTAAGCTCCATCAGCAGGGCCCTCCTATTCCTTCTGTTTTGAACTGCATTGTAATTGGACTGTCCCCCTTTTTTATTGTAAGGCGCAAACTATTGGTGCTATATAAATCAATAATAATAATAATAATAATATTTAAAATTCTGTAGCATATATAGTGTGGAATTCCCATTTTATTAAACAGCTGCATATGTATCTTTTATTGTAGCGGATAACACAAAGTATTTTTTGATTGCTGGTGCAGTCGGAATTGCTGCCCTCTTGTTGGTTGCTCTTACGCTGAAGCTTCTGTTGAGTAGCAGGTGAGACATTATTAAAGCCGGGACATTTGCTTTTTTATTTGGCACATAAACTGATTTAACCAATCAGAAGCTACCTCAAAGAAACATTGTGTTAAATAATGGGGTTACACCAGGGGTGGACTGACCACTCATGGGGCCCCCGGGCAATAGGGGATCATGGGGCCCCTGTGTCCTCGCCCACACTCAAACTACACCCAAAAAAGCCTATGAAAGGTACCAGGGGCATCTCATGGGGCCCCCTACTGACCCTGAGCCCTCGGGCAGTGCCCAAGCATGCCAATGGTCAGTCCGCCCCTGGGTTACACCATTTGTTATTTTACTAAGTATGCGGGGAAGAACTAAAGCTGACAAATAGTAATCATGTCTTCTTCTTTTTTATTTAATTTTTGTTTTTTACGTGGTTTAGTCTCAAAGGATAATTGTCACAGAAACAAAATTAAATAAAGAACCAGCAAACACAAATGCTCCTGCGCTTGGGGATGGACTCAATGTAGGCTACACCAGGGGCGGACTGACAACTCATGGGGCCCCCGGGCAATAGGGGATCATGGGGCCCCTGTGTCCTTGCCCAAACTCAAAAAAGCCTATGAAAAAGGTACCAGGGGCATCTCATGGGGCCCCTACTGACCCCGGGCCCTCGGGCAGTGCCCAAGTTTCCAAATGGTCAGTCTGCCCCTGCCTGAGCCCCATCTCAGTCCAGCGATGTGCATGAAAGCAGTGGCTCTACCGAGTCCCTCTCTCCTCATTGGCTCACACAGTAGGGGGAGCCATTGGCTCCTGTTGCTGTGACTAACAGCCAGTGAGCCAATGAGCAGAGAGCAGGGGGCACTGTCGAGCCATGCTCTGTTTGTGAATAGAGTATGCCTGCTCAGTTGCCCCTGTAGCAAGAATGTCCTGGGACATGCACACCTTGCTGCCCTCAATAGACCGGGGAAATCCAAATATACTGAATGAAGGAAGAACAAACAGAGGGTGCACGGGGCCTAGTGCATTACCATAAAAAATGTTTAATAAGAAATAAATGTCACTATGGGGACACTGTACTGCTAGGCAGTATGTTAAAAAAAAAACAACATAAATAATAATATAAAAAAATTAAATAAAAATGTAAAAATTTGTAAAAAATTATCTTTGGTTATAAACTAATTTGTGTTATTTTTTTTTTCTAAAAAGATAACTGAATAAATGTTGGCCAAGATTTATGAAGAAGGATTATTTATTTGTAAAATTGTATAAGAAAAACTTTTTTTCAAAATATTTGGACTTTTTCATTTATATAACAAAAAAAATAAAAAATCCCAGTGGTGAATAAATACCACCAAAATGTTTTATCTGTCTCAAAAAAATGCTAAAACATTCATATGGGTACAGTGTTGCATGACCGCGCAATTGTCATTCAAAGTGCGACAGCGCTGAAAGCTGAAAATTGGCCTGGATAGGAAGGGAGTAGAAATGACCAGACTTGAAGAGGTTAAACATTTTTTATGGTTATGCACTAGGCCCGTGCGCCCTCTGTTTGTTCTTCCTTCAAACAAAATTAACCCCTTGGGGCCGGCGCCTCCCTGCCCTTTAACCTCCTCGGCGGTATGATTCTTCCCGATTTTTTGTGCTGAAAGCGGTACCATTTTTTTTGCATGGAAATATGTAGTTTTTTATTGTAGGCTGTAAATTTTTAGGAATAACTCACTGAAATCTGTCTGAACAAGAGTCTAGTAAACATCCCGGGGAGGATAAAATTTTAAACACGAAATCAGAATTTAATAAACAATCATAAAAAAACAATAATATAATAATAATAAAATTTAATTCAAAATTATAATCAAACCAAAAACACTGAAATGTGAAATAGAGCGCCAAGTTCGCACATCGCTGAGCAAAGTCGCAAAATCGTTTTCAGTGTCTGATGAGGAATTTCCCCCACGAATCATTATCACTCAATTCTGCAAGTGGTTCTGATTTACTATCGCTGTTCTCTAGCCGGTCTAAAACCGATTTTGACCTAAAGGGACGCTTTTGGACGCCATGGACTTTTGTACGTTTCCAGGCAGAAAGAACATTCAAAATGCAGGCAGGGCGCCGGACAAAGCACTCGGGACAAAATGTATGTGAAATGCATTGAAACAGCAACGTTTTACTATGTAATAATCATTTTTAAAAAAAATGAAATTTTTTAAAAATTAAAAATTTGCCGCCGGTTCCGGCGCCCGTACGTCCCGACGTCACAGGGACCGGAACACGGAAGCCGGATGCCGGCATCGGCCGGAGGAGATGGCCGGGGACGTTGCAGGGGACACATCGCGGGAGCAAAGATCAAGGTAAGTGCTGCAGGGACCCCCAGAACAACGCCGCATGGTAAGCCCGAGTGTAGCTCAGGGTTACCGCTCTTGGTATAGAAATTTTACCCCGAGCTACACTCGGAAACACCGCTAAGGAGGTTAAGGGTTTCAGAAGGAGGAGGTGGGGGCGGGGTTTTAGGGTCATGTGACCACCGTGATTCGCTGTCATGGCGGTCACATGATCGGAAAAAGGTCCCGATCGAAAGAGGAGATCAGGACCTTTCCGTGAGTACCGGACATGTGTGCTGGGAGCGCGCAGGGTGTGCGCTCTCAACACACATGTTTTTCTTAATTGCACGCAAATGTGCGGCTGCTCGGCGTCAAGGCCCAGACACCGGAAGGTCGCACATTTGCGTGAGGCCAGCGCCAAGACGTTAAATATCTTGTTGCACATTTTACCTAGTTGATGAAATGCCTGGATGATAGAAACATGGTTTTCAAACCCATGCCTTCAATAGAAGGTTAGGAGGCAAGTGTAGAAGAATTATTAACAGAGTTGACCAGATCGGTCTCCAAGTCTACACACAAGAATAACTAATTGGCCCTAAAGTTTTTATATGTAATCATTTTTTAATCATTGAATATTTTATAGAATTTATAGAATTCAATAAGAGCACAGAAAATTGAGAGACATCGAGGAATTTTCTACATTGTCTCCTTACAGATGTTCTTTGGTCAGCCATGTGATTTGTAGAGTAATTTATACTAATACAGACAACTTGCTTTTTTTTATCCATTCATACTATGAAAGAGAATATCCGTCCACTGGGTAGGACCATCCCATAGATATCAAATTTTGAATTAAACAACAAAAACCATAAGAAACAAATGACCAGAGGATAAGGAGGAACAAACTAAGGAAATTTAGATCAATGGGGGGTAAAAATTCAAGACTAAAGGGGGGTAGAGAGTCCTCTACTGGGCTTGTGTGGAAAAAGATGAGGGGGGATCAGGCAACAATATGACTATTCTGTTCAAATATAGTAGAAGGGAGGGGAGTAAGGAAAGAAAAAAAAAGGGTGGGTGGCCAATATAAAATGGGGGCCACCAAGGAACCAAGGCAATCATATCATGCCCACAGAGTCAGAACTGCAAGGAGAGTTACCCAAGTCAACACTTCTTTCACTTCGCTCCGGCCATCAATCACTTGCCTTCTTCAGAATCCACGAACAAATGCCAATGCTGCCAAGTTTGGTGAAATGTTTCTTGCATGTTCATTTGAGATTCCTATTATTTAATTCATATATATGTATATTTTTAAACTCTTAGGACCAAGAACACTGAGAAAAAAAATAAAACCGAGGATCGCATTTCTACAAACCAGTATGGATACCAACCAGACTCTTTGTATGAAAACACCAAATTTGCCACCAATGTTAAAGAGGTGAAGTTAATGTTATCAATATAAAAAAAAACAAAAAACTCTTGCATTTGGAGTTGTGTATAAAGGCATATTCTAGGCATAGTGTTTTAGATCTTAGTATAGTAAGATCTCATCTGGAATATGCAGTTCAGTTTTGAGCACCAATTCACAAAAAAAAACATTGGGGAACTGGAGAAAGTACAGAGAAGGGCAACCAAACTGATACGAGGCATGGAGGAGATCAGCTATGAGGAAAGATTAGAGGAACTGAATTTATTCTCTACTGAGAAGAGGAGATAAAGGGGGATATGATCTCCATGTATAATACATAATAAAGGGGGGATATGATCTCCATGTATAATACATAAGGGGGGGATATGATCACCATGTATAATACATAAGGGGGGATATGATCTCCATGTATAATACATAAGGGGGGATATGATCTCCATGTATAATACATAAGGGGGGATATGATCTCCATGTATAATACATAAGGGGGGATATGATCTCCATGTATAAAACATAAGGGGGGATATGATTCCCATGTATAATACATAAGGGGGGATATGATCACCATATATAATACATAAGGGGGATATGATGTCCATGTATAATACATAAGGGGATATGATGTCCATGTATAATACATAAGGGGGGATATGATCTCCATGTATAATACATAAGGGGGATATGATCTCCATGTATAATACATAAGGGGGGGATATGATCTCCATGTATAATACATAAGGGGGGATATGATCTCCATGTATAATACATAAGGGGATATGATGTCCATGTATAATACATAAGGGGGGATATGATCTCCATGTATAATAAACATAAGGGGGGGATATGATTCCCATGTATAATACATTAGGGGGGATATGATCTCCATGTATAATACATAAGGGGGGATATGATCACCATGTATAATACATAAGGGGGATATGATGTCCATGTATAATACATAAGGGGGGATATGATGTCCATGTATAAATACATAAGGGGGGATATGATCTCCATGTATAATACATAAGGGGGATATGATCTCCATGTATAATACATAAGGGGGGATATGATCTCCATGTATAATACATAAGGGGGGATATGATCTCCATGTACAATACATAAGGGGGGATATGATCTCCATGTATAATACATAAGGGGGGATATGATCACCATGTATAATACATAAGGGGGGATATGATCTCCATGTACAAATACATAAGGGGGGATATGATCTCCATGTATAATACATAAGGGGGGATATGATCACCATGTATAATACATAAGGGGGATATGATCTCCATGTATAATACATAAGGGGGATATGATCTCCATGTATAATACATAAGGGGGATATGATCTCCATGTATAATACATAAGGGGG